GGCGGGGGCGGGGAGGCGGCTGGGGAGGGGAGGCGGCTGGGGAGGGGAGGGGTCCGCCTTGCTGGCAGCTCTCGCGAGCAGCTCCTTCGCCGAGCCGGCGAGCGCGGAGGCGTGGCCGTGCGCGAGGGCGAGCGAGGCGGCGTCCCACAGCGCCTGTGGGGGCGTGCCATGGACACGTCGGGGACGTGCCCTCGACAAGTGCACATCGACAAGTGCCACACGGGGCGTCCCTCGGCGCCTGAGCCCAGTCGCGGAGGACGCTGTCCAGCGCGTCGCCACGCGTCGAGTCGCTCCGCGCACAAACCTCCTCGTGGAGAGAGAGCGAGCGGCCGACGGCGGCCTCGCCAGCGGCACGCGCCGCCGCCGCGGGCGCCGCCTTGCCGCGGGCTGCGGCGCGCGCAGCCGCTTCGAGGAGGAGGCGGCCGTGCCGGAGGCAGGCCTATGGGGCGTGTCACCGGCATGTCGTGCGGACGTGTCACTGGACAGGAGCCCGCCCTGCCGGAGGAGGGGCCGAGGCGAGGCTGGCGAGCAGGTCGACGTCCGGCTCCTATGGAAGGCTCAGACAGGGCTCAGAAGAGGCTCCCGCAGACGGGTGGCGAGGCGGTCCTTGGTCCGGCTCCGGCTCCCAGGCCGCCTCCTCCCAGTCGTCTGGCAGCGACCCCTCCGTCTCAGGCGGAGAGCCGAGCAGCAGCGAGCCCGACCTCTCCCAGAGCTCCAGTGCGCGCCCACTCGCGTCGACCGCCGCCTTGGCCGCAGCCTCCGCCGCCGCCGCGTCCGCAGCGCCCCCGTGCGCGGCGCTCGCTCTCAGTCGCTCGGCCTCGGCCTCCCTCTCCTCCGAGAGGAGGGCGCACACCTGCGCCCGCGTGTCGCAGTAGTGGCTGGCCTCGGCGGCGGCGAGGTCGCCCGCACCGCTCGCCGCAGCAAAGCCAGCCTCGAGCGCCTCGCCGCACCGCTCGAGTGCGCTGATGCGCGCCTCTGGCCCGCTTGGCGCCGGTGCGGCGGGCAGGCTTGCGCCGCGCCGCGCCCAGCCCGCCAGCCTCACCTCGTCAGCGTCGATCTGGAGCAGGCTCCCGGTCGCAGCGGCAAAGAGGAGGCACCTGGCGTGGACGCGGCCCGGTCTCTCCGCCGCGTTTGACACCGGGGACTCAGATCTCGGCATCTCGGCTGATCTCCGTTCACCCTCTCGGCGTGTTGACGAGGCCGGCATGCTCGAGCATCTCCACCGCCTGCGTGAGCATCGCACGAGCCTTTGCGGGCTCCTTGTCCCGCAGCTTGCGCTCCCCGCGCTCCAGCTGAGCCTCCGCCTCCCACAGAACCGCCTCTGGGCCGGCCGGGCCGTCGTCGGAAGGCTTTGGCTGCTCGCGGGCGCCTCTCCGGCCGCCGCGACCCTTGCCTCCCCGCGGAATGCCTCGCGGACCTCCGCCGCGGGGCATCGGAGCGGGCGGCGCGTGATGTGGGAAATCAAGAATAATTCCACCGGCGAGCCTGTTAAAGACCTATTTCGGCTCTTGGGCGGGCGCCCTCAAACCCGTACGGGTTGTGTCAGCGCCGCGCGCGGCCCCAATGCCGGGCTCTGCGCCGGGTATTTCGGGCGCCGAGAGTGGCCTGGCCCCGGGCCCACCCCCGGAGGCCGATGGCGACATGCACCGCGACCCATTCCGCCTCCTGGAGGCTGCTCTCGGACGTTCAAGTGGCGCCAGCCAGCGGCTCGGCCGCGCATCCTTCACACACGCCGCCACTACCGGGATGAGAGGGCCCAGTGTCGAGTCATGGTACGAGCTGCATGTGAGGGGCGGCTGTGGACACAGCAGGCCCACCACACGGGCGTCAAAGCTTGCCGTCGGGGTGCTGTCGTGGGGAGAGCCCGAGACAGCTGCAGAGGAGCCGAGTGCAGTGGCGAGCCAGAGGCTACCTGGGTCACCAAGTGGTGGCCCTTGCCCATTCTGAGCAGGGCTGTGCTTTGGTGGGGTTGTGCTTGAGCATGTGTGAAGTGGGAGTGCGTGCCGGCGGTGTCTGTGGGTGAAACGGGCGTGTATGAGGCCGTAAGAGCCGTGGTATGAGCCAGAGTGGGCTTCATCACCCAAAATAAGGACGGTTTGGGACAGCTCAGACTTGATGCTGATGGGCCTGGGCCAGGAGAGCGACAGAGAAGGCGAGGTGGTGAGCTGGGAAGCCGCTTCGTCGGCACCTGGACATGTCGCGATGAACTGCCAAAAGGCACCTTTGCGGCTATTGCTCAAGACTTCGGGAGACAGGGCCTACAGGTTATGACTGCATCCATGCGCCTGGTGCATGAGGTCTGCGGGTCGGGACATTTCACGGTCGGTGGCGCCGGATGGCCTCCGGAAAGCCCTCGCAATCGCCTCGGATGGGGTCCACCGGAGACAATCTCGAGCCCTCTCCGTGGCATCACGAGCCGGTGTGAGCTTGCAGACCCAAGGTAAGTGCGGTCTGGGACGGCTCAGACTTACTACTGGTGGGCCTGGGCCAGGAGGGCGACAGAGAAGGCGAGGTGGTGAGCTGGGAGGCTGGAGCGTCCGCGTGTGACCTTGTCGCGATGCAAGTGCCACGAAGCGTTGTTTGCGGCTATTGCTCAAGACTTCGGGAGACAAGGCCTACATATTATGACTGCATGCATGCACTTAATGCATGAGGGCTGCGGGACGAGACATATCACGGTCGGTGGCGCCGATAATGACCTCCGGAATGCCCTCGCAATCGCCTCGGATGGGGTCCACCGGAGACAATCTCGAGCCCTCTGCGTGCCGTCACGAGCCAGTGTGAGCTTGCAGACCCAAGGTAAGTGCGGTCTGGGACGGCTCAGGCTTGCTACCGATGGGCCTGGGCCAGGAGAGCGACAGACAAGGCGAGGCTGTTGAGCTGGGAGCAGGAAATAGCGCTTTCGAGGCACTTGCATCGTGACAAGGTGTCCCGAGGACATACTCGGCTTTACGGTCACAGCCGTTTCGTAACTCGCTGCTTTGTAGTGCGGATCACACGTTGAACGG